CATAAACTTATAAATACTACTCCTAACACAGCATCATTTTGTTAGGTATTTATTGTTTCTATGGTAACTTCAGTTCCTGCGTTAGTGCTTTCAGACCTTTTCATGCAGCCAGTTGAGGTGGTTTTTGTATAGTTTGTATGTCTGGGATTGATTAAGAATGCTATTTCAGGGTCAGTATGATAGGAAGGTCACAGTGGATTGACAGGATTGGAATTGACCTAGAAAATAAAAAAAAAGTAAAAATAGAAAATAGAACTAGAAAAGCATGAAATAAATTTGGAGAAAATACAAAATTATGCTAAATGATTCTTTTATCTTCTTTTAAAAAATTGAAATTGAGATACAAAAGATAATAATTGCACAAGAACAACAATGAAAAATAAGAAAGAATATTCTTAGAGAATTAACAACAATCATATCATATAAAGACATTGTAAGTAAATAACTATCATATATACCATACAAAGTGCCAAAGCTTGTCAACCTACAACTTTAGAAGTAATAATAAGTCCTACATTGGCCGTAATGTTTCTAATGCAATGCAGGTAAAATGAATGGTAATGCAAAAGTAAACAATAAGAAGAAATTTGGGATTGATTCTGAATCCTATGGCATCTTTAATCTATGTGATTCCTATTCCCATAACAGGTTATGGATTATTCTTTATTCATCTCTTTCCTTGTACTCTTTTCTATCTATTTTGCATTATGGTAGATGGTGGTGGAATACTACAAATACACAATAGTGGTGGTGGTAGATGAGAATGTGATGGTCGCATCAAAGAACAAATAAAAGCAATGTCTCCTATCTTTCATGTTTATAGTTACAGAATTTTGTCTTTCCATCTCAGCTTTTCCCTTCTTCCCCTCCCAATCTAAACTACCATATCAGCCAACTCCATTTGATTGATTCTTGTTGTTTTCCACAGATTTCTTACTTTAGGACCAAGAAATTGGCTGAACTCAGGTTGGCTATTGACATTGTTCATATGGTTTGGGTATTTTGTATTAAAACAGCCAGCACTGTTAATTGAGTGTGGATTTTTGTTATTCCTTCATTTGCCAATATTTATAAACCTTAGTTAACACCTTGTCTCCTTAAAAACCATTTTTGCACATATTTTGACATATTTTTTGTTTCTCTCAGAGGGATGCATCTATGGCGCATTTATTTGTACACGGTCCACGTCCTTCATTCCGTAGTTATTCCCAACAGTTGACAAATCGTGCTAGAGTTTCAGCATCAGGCAGATTGACCCAATTTAGGAGAAACTTCAACAGTCCTGATATGGATCTTGAGATGGTAATGCTTTCTATATTCATGTCATGAACTTCCATTATATGGTTGAGATATAAATATATGGTAAATAATTAATCACCTTCTTCCAGTCAATAATTGCTGAACTACGGAGAAATTTCAACAATGGCGAAATGGATCTGGAGACGGTAAACCCTTACATTTTTCTGTAGATGAAATTTTGCAGATGACACTTTCTCAAATTTACTCATTGAAATTTGCACTTTCCATTGTTTGCTAAATATGATTTTGCTGACCTAGCTTCTAAATGGAGATCATTGTAAAAATAATGAAATAATGCCAGCACTAGACAATGCCTCCCTAGTCCCTAGTGCTAAATTTGTGATCCATTCTGCTCATTGGCCTTAAATTCTTACAATTTTGTCTTTAATGGTTTAGGTCCGCTTACCTTTTCCTCTTTTATCTACATGGTTGTTTTTCCTATAAAGTTGGTTTACTTTGCTAAATGTTCAGTGCAAACCCCTTGCTAAGGACATTTTTTAGTGAATCTTTATGTGCTTGCTTTATTCAAGGTGCCACATTGTTTCATGACATTGCATATTGTTCCATATATTATTTTCAGTGGAACTGGATAAGATATTCTTGGATTTTAATAAAACTAATCTTTCAGTGGTTTATATATTATCTTTTTATTAGTGGGATTAGATATTCTTTCATTATGTTAATTGTTTATTTGGATTATATTTTTGTTTGTCATTGTGTTGACTATCTTGTTAGCTATGCCCCTGCTCATGCCTCTTTAAGCATGTTTTTCTAAAGTATTCGTGTTTTGCCTTTTCCATGGCTCATTGTTGTCTGGCTTAGTGTTGTGCTTAGATAATAGGGTGGTTTGATTGTAAATTATTGTTCTCTTCTCTAATATAGTGGTGTCCTTTACACAATGCCCAGAGGCTCAACTTCTTGGAAGCATTGGAAGCTGCGTTTGAGAATGAACAAGACATGGAGATTTTAGATGATACTCTTCTGGTTCAACGTGACATCACCGAGTAAGCATTTATGTTATTCTTTGACAAATAAGTCACTTATCATGTTCCATAGTATTCTGGTTCTATTCTGTTGAACATATTGCAAGACATTTTATTGTGATTATTGTGATTACTGCTGGTTGAGGTATGGGAAATTTCGGTAGCTGAACAAAACTATGGTTTGAGAAACTTATTTTTACCATATAAGGCCGCCGCCCATTAGATTTGAGTACAGATGTGAAGATGTTGGGTTTGCAGCCATGAAGACTATTATATTTTCTTTAAAAATGTTTTTAATGAAGGTGATGATGGACTTATTACTTTGTAATTTCATTAGAAGTGAGGAATAACATATTGTTACGGTTGTGTTGCTGTGCTCTTAAGGGTAAGATAAAGAAAGTTTTGAACTTCTACATGACTAATCGATTTCAATGTACTATAATCTTGCTGTTGCAGAATATTTGCAATTTGAATAAACCACCTATTATATGTTTCCTATTTTCGTAATTTGGGTCAGAGCCCCCATGTAGTACGTATGGTACCTGTCGCATGATTCCAATATATTTCCTAGTTTCTTAATGTGGATCTCCACATCACGGAACATGTACAACAAATGCTAATTATGTCCTCCAATCAAGAAACTCACATCTGCTAGAGACAAATTGTTTTCCTTTTTCAACTATCGGACAAATTAATTTTCTTTTCAACAACAGAGATGACTATGAGATGCTGTTGGGCCTTGATGAAGACAACCATCAACATTCTGGTGCATCAGAGAGTCAGATCAACATCTTGCCAGAATCAGTGATCCAGGTTTTGTATGGTTCTCTTTTTTATGAATAATACAAGCATTTCAACCAATTTGTTCACTTCTGTACGGCTGCATATTTTCCATTCCATCATCTTTGACAGAGTAATGGCAATGTAGAAGCATGTGTCATCTGCCTTGAGCCACCGACTGTTGGAGATGTCATCCGTCATCTGCCTTGCTTACATAAATTTCACAAAGAAGTAAAGATTCTTATCATACTGATACCACTTAAAATTCTTGGCTTATGAGTAATATTTGCCTTGAATATGCATCATCAAACAATTAATCTATTTAATTCACACTTGGCAGTGCATCGACACATGGCTCAGGAGGAAGACTTTGTGTCCAGTATGCAAATCTGGTATTTCTTAATATGCAAATAAATTGACTTCTCTGCTTTTGGTAGATTGGCAAAAGCTTCTCAGGAAATATTTTTTTGAAATTTAGTGGTCTCTGAAAGTATCCAGCTCATTTTTATAAGTGCAAATTATTCACCCATGTTCTTGTTTGTCGCCTGAGAACTGTTCTTGTCAATTTCTTAGTTGAAACTAGAATCAGTATCCATAGCTACAAGCAACAGTTGGGGCAACACCTTGTTCCTAACTTTTCATATTGCAAATGATATCGCTATAATTTTACTGTTCTATCATGGCATCTTATTTCTTCTGTGTCTCTACATGTATTTTATGCTGGAATCTGGGATCTGTATCTTATATTGGATTGCATTTTAGCCTGGCAGGAAAACATACTCAATTTTGTTTGCATGAGAACCACAAAGACCCATACCTAAACTACTGGATGACAAACACTAACTAATGAAAGTTCTTTATATATCATGTAATTGTAAGGTTGCTTCTTTATTATTTGGTTCAGGGTTTAACAGTTGCATAAACAATATTTGTATTCTACTTGTATTAAATGTTCTTGCATTATTTAGGTGCTATTTTAGGGCTTTGACATATCCATCCTTGAAACAACAGTTGCATAACCATGATTAGTTGTACTTAACACGAGCTAGTTTAAGTTAAAAAGAAATCAGTCCAGTCTAGAGATCTTTATTGGGCTCGAGTTGGGTTCAATCTGAGCCGTCCTACTTTGCAACACTAAACTGGTACATCCCTTCCTAGTATGGGCACGTAGTGGAATTACGCCCAACACCTTCCCCTTCTCTTTCATCCTCCTGAACTACTTGTCGATGGCCTCCCACTTCTCCTTGCACCTCTTTTGGCGTTGCGGTGGTGGCTCATCGCCGCCATCGCCGCTCTCACCTCCTGCCAGATCGGCCACTGGGCCCCATCTCGTGAAATCTCCGCTCCAGTCCGCTTCTCACCCGTATCAGCGCCTGCACCTCCTTCAACTGCTCGTGCTGGCGGCCGTCGACGGTGGCTCTTTTGAAAGAGCAATTGGAACTGTCGAATGTAGATATGCGTGGGTGGAAATGGGTCAAGTGAGACGGTAGATTCGGCGGGGGCTGCGGCTGTGGTTAGTTGGGAGGCAGTGATGCGGTGGACGTCGGTGGCGGCAGCGACGGTGGTAGAGTGGATGGAGAATACTGTTTGCTCGGTATTTTCTGTAGCATGAGACAGTACTGACTTCATCATTCTTTGGATAGTTTCCGTGTGAGTCCCTGATTAAGAAACTGATGAGTATTGCATGCTTATCCATCAATACTTCATATAAATCTCTCAGGTTCATAATTATTCTCCCTCTACTTGATGTTAGAATCGGTGTTAATTTTCTTATTTATACCTAATTTAAATTCGATTAGCGAGGTTTCTAAATTGACTTAAACGGATCGGGTAATGGAAATACCCGATCCATTGCGATCCGTAGATGAGTGAGTAGGAGTGAGAGTAAGGGCTCGACTAAATCCGCTTTATTAGAACCCGACCCGAGCCCGAACCCATTTATTCAGCCAAACCCACCGAATCCCCTTTCGATTGCAATCGCACGCGTCATACCTCGCTCCCTAATCGGCCATGGCCGCCGATCCCTTCTTCCTCTTCTCACTTTGAAACCCCGCGTCCCCGAAACCCTACCGATGGCTTCCCCCTTCCCCCATCTTCTCCCTTCCATCCCCCTCTCCCCCTTCCATCCCCCCCTCTTCCTCCCCTCCAAGATCCTCTCTCCTCAACACCGTCGCCGCCCTGCTGTCTCAGCCGCCCTCCAGTGGAACCGTAAGCCCCAGCTCGCCGGGGAGACCCCCCGCGTGGTGGTCGTCACTTCCGGAAAAGGCGGCGTCGGCAAGACCACTACCACCGCCAACGTCGGCCTCTCCCTAGCCCGCTTCGGCTTCTCCGTCGTCGCCATCGACGCCGACGCCGGTCTCCGAAACCTCGACCTCCTCCTTGGCCTCGAGAACCGCGTCAACTACACCGCCGTCGAGGTCCTCAACGGCGACTGCCGCCTCGACCAGGCCCTCGTCCGCGACCGCCGCTGTCCCTCGCTCGAGCTCCTTTGCATCTCCAAGCCCCGCTCTAAGCTCCCACTCGGCTTCGGCGCCAAGGCTCTTACGTGGGTTGTCGACGCGCTCCGCTCACGGCCGGCGGGTCCTCCACATTTCGTGCTCATCGACTGCCCCGCTGGCATAGATGCCGGATTCATCACCGCCATCGCGCCGGCGAATGAGGCCGTGTTGGTCACCACCCCCGACATCACTGCGTTACGCGACGCCGACCGTGTCACTGGCCTTCTCGAGTGCGATGGCATCCGTGACATCAAGATGATCGTCAATCGGGTTCGTACGGACCTAATAAGGGGCGAGGACATGATGTCAGTGCTTGACGTGCAGGAAATGCTCGGACTTGCATTGCTTGGTGTCATCCCGGAGGATTCAGAAGTTATCAAAAGCACGAATAGGGGATATCCGCTTGTTCTAAACAAGCCTCCCACAATGGCTGGGCTTGCATTTGAGCAGGCAGCATGGAGACTGGTGGAGCAGGATACAATGACTGCTGTCATGGTTGAGGAGGAACCCAAGAAGAAGGGCTTCTTTTCCTTCTTTGGTGGTTGAGATTCTAGACATGGAGGATGGATTTTGAGTTTGATATTTTTGAGACTATGAGTTTGATTCTCAGCATACTAGGAGTCTTATGGCGAATCAAAATTGGGATCAAAGTTTGGTTGTGTACAGTTGATAGGTACCGCCTTTTCTTGTTCTGCTTATCTTGTTAACTTGAAGTTGTCTGATTCTTTGCTTATAAATGTTTCTTGAACTATCTGATTTGGTTTAGAACTCTGAATTTGAGTTGATCACACGTTTATCAGTTTATATTCCTTTTGAAATATTGCACTTTAGGTGTTTGTCGTGATGTAATCTAAGTAGTAGATTAAATCATATGTGAGGATAGTTTTCTTCATCAATGTGATGAAATGGCCTAGCTGCATCCTAGTTCCTTCTCACTTTTGGAGTCAAAAACATGTTTAGTAGCAGGATGGTATTTTAGTCTTGACAGCATTTTGAAATGTCACAAAACCTATCGTTGTATATATTAGTTGATGTAATCTGTAAAAATGTTATTTTGTAAGGTTCCATGAAGTTGGATGTTGTGACCATTTATCTACCAAATCACTGATGATTACTAGTTCTACAATGGAGCTATAATTTGCAGTTGTTAATATGGACTAGACAAAGGAAATTCTTTTAATGTACATCTTGGCACTGAAAATATATTTTTGAAAAGCTCTAGTCTAGTGGTTTGTCTATCTTTACAAATGTTATCTTTCTTTCATGCAGAATAAGGGGGTCATTGATATAGTAACATAAATCAAACTCCAGCTGTGTAAAGAATTAAAATATCATAATGTGATATGTTTTTACGTTTGTTTCTTTCATGTGGCAAGGGATATTTTTGTTCTTGTAATATACAGGTAAATTCTTTAGTTTTAATGATTATGTCTTGTTGGTGACTCTGGACTACCTTGTAACTATTTGGAACCTCAGCCTGGCTGAAGATGTAATTATAAGATGATTCAATCGAGCAAGAATACTAGTGTTTTGGTTGTACTATTAACTTAATGGGGATAGTAAGTTGAACCACAGGTGGTCGTGATTGCATTCCAAAGTCATAATGAATGATTTTTCTTTATGTCGACTGTAAAATTGGGAGAAGGCCTTTACATATACTTGTAAATGAAAAATACAAAAATTTATTGGAAGTGTTTGATGATGAGATACAACTCTAATTGTTTCTCTCTTATGGGTTTTGAATTTTGGATGAGAACAACTTGCTCTGATTTGGAATGATGTATTTCCACTTATCGAGATCTTTTTTGAGGGCTTATAGAAGAGTTTGGGTCTGAGAAAGCAAAAGGTTCTTGCATGAGTGAGAGAGACAAAGTTCAATGGAGTATTGAGAAGCTCAGATGTATTGGAGTGGTTGAGATGGATACAAGATAATACCCCTCCAGGATCAATAACTCAGAGTCTTTCTCTTATTTTATAATAATTAAATAAACTTTTTTACATATGAACTTGAACTAAACTTGGGATTAGTCAGTGATTGTTTGTTGCTTGTAATATGGAAAAGATAATGCACACTACTAAAGAAGTTTGACTTGGATTGATTGTTTGTTGCTTGTAATATGGAAAAGATAATGCACACTACTAAAGAAGTTTGACTTGGATTATCTTGTTTACCAGGATAGACTTAAAAATGAGAAGTTTAGAAGATGTATACTATTTAAAAGAAGATTATTAAGATTTGTTAAAATTTTTATGGTAAGTAAGATACTAAAAATGGAGGAAAGGATATAGAGAAAGTGAGGTAACAATTGATGCATAAAGAGTTAAAGATTAAATTAAAGGATGCTTATTATTGCTATGGATATTAAGGAATGATGTAAGAGTTACAACAACAACAACAATAATAAAACCATAAGTCCCAACTATTTGGGATTGGTTACATGAATATTTTGCCGTCAGATCTATAAAATGATGTTTAGTTAAGTTAAAGCACTTAAATCTTTATTTATAGTTTATATCAAAATCTTTTTTAGGTCTTCCTCTTACCTCTTCTTATATTGTTAATATTAATTATTTCACTTCTTTTGACTATCACATCCGGAAATCTTAATACATGCCTATACCATTTTAAATGATTTTATCTCATTTTATCCTCTTTCGAAATGGTACATAATAGTTCACGAATAAAAGTATTTCTTTTCTTCTCTTTCATAGTAATTTTACATATCTCTCAACAACACAAACTTTTTGTATATGTTTTTTCTTAACTACCTAACACTTAGATTCATAAAATATTATTGATTTCACAACTGTTTCATAATTTTTTTTTATTTTAAAGGTATCCAATGATCACACAAGACTCTTGACGTTCTTCGTCATCTTAATCATCTTTTCTTTACTTTATGAATAATGTATTCATTGATATCTCTATCTTATTAAATAATTGATTCAGGATACTTGAAACTTTTACTTAAAAAGAGTTTTTGTACATCCAAGTTAACTATATTATTTTATCTATTTCTAGAATCACTAAAATTATATTTTATATATTTAGTTTTAGTCCTATTTAATTTAAAACCTTTAGTTTCTAAGGCTTGGCTTCATAGTTCAAGTTTAAATTAATTCCACTTAAGCTTTCATCAACTAAGATAATGCCATTAGCAAATAACATATATCAGGGATATCTATCATGCAAGTCACTAGTAAGTTCATTTATTATCAATGTAAAAAGATAGAGATTTAATACGAATTCTTGGTGTAATCCTATGCTAATTTGAAACTTAGAAGACACACTTCCTATAGTTCTAACACTAGTAACTATATTATTATACATATCTTTAATAATATCAATATAATTAGTGGATATATATATTTTTTTAAACTCGTGATAATAAATCTCTAGGAATCTTATCATATGCTTTCTCTAAGTTAATAAAAATTATAAAAAAAATTTCTCCCTATATTTTTATTAATTATCTTAATAAATAAATAATTTTTTATCTTCCAAGCATAAAATCAAGTTGATTTTAAGAGATATTTATTTCAAGTCTTATCCTACTTTCGATAACTCTTTCCCAAAGTTTCATGAACATGATGTGGGAGTTAATTTTATAAATTATTTGGTAAACATTCTATAGATAACTTGCCTTTTGAGATAGAAAATAGCGACAACTTTAGGGATCATAGATTTGTCTATAAAGTTCGAGTAAATTAAAAAAAAGTTTTGAAGATAGATGAAAATTGGTAAGTGTAGAACTTGATGATATCTCTATTGAGATACATAGAAACTTAGGAGATCAAGAATTGTTTTATTAACTAGTTTATTAAAAAAGACTTTGAAAACTAAAAAAATGTCTAGTAATGGAGGAGAAGCTTTTTTGTATTGATATATAAGAACAAGATGTTCATAATTATTCCTTGTTTATAGTAATGATGCATACTATAAAACTGAAGGAGTGATTGATAGTAGAGTTAGATCTAAGACAAGTATACTTGAAAATTAGTTTTATTTTTTGCCTGTAAGATCAATCATAGAAATTATTTATTTATGAAAACAATTAATAAAAAATATAGAGAGAAGAAGATAATATTTGTGTATGTTTTACATTGGGTTTTAGTGAAAAAAAGACTATCTAATATTGATATAAAAAGGATATGTATGATAGAGTAGTCTTTAGTACTAGCACTGCCAAAGATGTGTAACAAATTCTTATATTATTATAGGATCATTGAGGAGTAGATTTAAGTATTTATTTTTTCACATGACTTGTGGATGAACCTAGCCTTACACAAAATTATGTTATTTGTTGATATTATTTTGATTGATGAAAGTTGGATTAATTCTTTATAAGATCAATGCATCATGAAATCAACCCTAAGTAATTGGGATATTATGACTTGGTGGTGTTGTCAATCATTACATAAGCTTAACTTATTCCATAATTCTGGTTTCCAGGACAAGAACATGAAAAGAGCTGCAGGAATGGTGAGTTTCCAGCTTGTAGGACTGATTAAACTTACAACTTTATGTACTCATGGTTATGTTGATGTTGATTTTGGCCACCATGACAAGGTTTGAAAGTTCCTTAATGGCGTTAAGGAAAAAGGAGAGAGGGCTGATTGTTGAACTGTTCATTCAAGTATGATCCCATCTTTCTGAAGTCCTTGTTTTAAATGAGTTGACTTAACATTGTTTAGTGTAGCTTGTAGCAGGTGCAGATGCACCTTCTCTCTATCCACATGGCTGGGTTGGATAGAGAAGTTAGCCATTTTTGTAGAAGAGTTTGCATTTGAACAACAGAACTGTGCCTTGATGTGGCTTGAAGTATGAAATATATGGATGGAATTTTGTGTTCACTGGCAGATCAGGGTATCATTAAGTTTAGAGATAGAGACAGACACCCACAGTTAATTCTTGAAATGTCTACCAGGTCATCAACTGTTTTGTTCTTAATCATAATGTCTGCTTCCTTTGAACCTCAAGTTCCTTATCTATCTGCATTATTGTCTTCACCATGGTCATGCACAAACATGGCACCTGGATTAGTCTAACCAGTTTCACATGCATCATCTGAGGTGAGCATGTTTGATGATGGAATAGTTATTGCACAACCTTTGTCAAAGGAGGGACAAATGCTTATGGGAAAATTAATCTAAGAATAAAAGAGACAGAAAGGGAAGAAGATGATTTTACATATCTATCCTTTCAAAGTCTAGAAGTTGCATAGTTGCCCCTCCAAAGTTTAGTATTATATGTCCACCCCTAAAAATTTTTTGGATTATAGTATCACTCCAAATTTTTAGATGATAAGGATTATGATGGAAAACTTCCATCATTTTAGATGCTCCAAATGAGTCATGGGACATTCAACTGACTTCCAAGAAAATAAAAAGTATCTTTTGTCCTATGTAGTGAGAATTAAATTTTACTATTTTATATGTCTATCATAAACTCTTGAGAAAATAAGAGTCATATTCATCATACACACTAAGGAAAAATATTATCATCTCATGACTGTCTCTCATGGTCTTACAAGTATAGAAGACAAATAGGTCCTACATAGTCTCACCAGTGTCTAGAAAGTTAATATTGTCCAAAACTAGAAATTTGCAGGCCAATCAAGACTTCTTCAACCTTCTCATTGTCAGCATGGATTTTTCTACCTGGAATGATCAACTAGTTCACTTGAAGTCAAAAAATATTTAGAACTTTCACCAAATGAATCATTATGATAAGAATATTTGTACACTTCAATATTTTTCAAAGAGTCTAGCGGGATTAGTTAAGCTAGCTATCGTCTTCAAAAATATGTGCAATGAAATTTTGAATTTTCAACCTTTGGTTAAGAGGATATGATACATCACTTTCAGACCAATCTATAAGATATTAAATATATTTGTTGAAATTTCGAACCCTCAACTTTTGTTAAGAGAGTCTAGGACACCACCATCAGAGCAATGTTTAAAGTGTAAAATATATTGATTGAGTTTTTGAATCCTCAAACCTTTGATAAAAGGGTTTAATACATTATTATCATATCAATGTTTAAGGTGTAAAAGTAAAATATATCGAATGAGGTTTCAAACCCTCGATATTTGATTAGAGAGTTCGATATACCACCGCCTATTTAAGGTGTAAATATATATTGGATGAGATTTAAAATTATCAATATGTGGTAAGTAAGTTTTCTATATTATTATCGGATCAATGTTTAAGGTATAAGAATAGATCAGATGAGATTTTAAATCTGTAATCTTTGATAAGAGGGTCTAATATATCGATCAATGTTTAAGATATACTTATAAATAAATAAGACATTGAAATGCCATGGACTAAACTTACATAAGTTGCCAAAAGATTTGATGGAACCACCTCCACATTTGACAAATGATGTTCTAACATGAATAGCATTATAACTTATTACTATTATTGATCATCATTTGAACATTATCATCATATTCCCATACAATTTCCTCTTGCAATTGTAATTGTAATGTAGCTTACCTTTTAAAGATGCATATAGCAACAGATTAACAAATGTTTTCATTTGAATCACTTGAAGCTAATCTTGCTATAAAAATCTCCTCTTGAGAATGGTTGTACCATAAATGGAATTGATTTGACATCCTATCTTACCAACTCGAAGCCGCGGTAGATGTCGAGCAGCTTCTTGGTCATGATAGTGGAGTGGTTCCTCATGCCCTCGTTGAACAACTTGTTGAACCGGGCGTCCGTGCCGTAGTACTCGAACGCCATCATCCCGTACGCCTTGTTGAACGGGATGCCGCCGTCCAACACCGCGTCCTTCAAGTGGTACCAGCTCTCCATGAGGACCTTGTCCAGGGTCATCATGGCGAGAGCGACCATGGACACGCCGTCCTCGTTCTTGGCCAGGTACTTGCAAACCGGCGCCGGTCCGTACTTCCCCGACGGCCTGCCGTCGGCACCGGTCTCGACAGTGCATCTGACGATGTTGTAGGCGGCGAGCAGGCGGAGGATCCTGTCCACCATGACGGCCGCCTGCGGGTTCTGGGTGGGCATCTGGGCGGCGATGTCGGCGGCGCTCAGCTTCGGGGTCGGCCCGGCCTTGACGAGGATCTCGAAGAGGTCGAGTTCGGCGGCGGCCTTGACGGTCATCGGCAGGATGGGGCCGCTGGCCAGCTCGACGGCGTACATGCAGGCCTCCTCGTCCTCCTGGGGGGTCAGCTGCAGCTCCTCCTTGATGGATCCCATGGCTCTGCAACTGGAAGCAGGGGAAGGATGAAGGGTGAGTTCGAGAGAGTGGAGATCAGTGGGTGGTGGACTTATACGCCTTCAGCTCGTCATCTTCATCACGTAACGTGCCATTACAGTCATTCTTCTGCGTAATCTCTTCCTTTTCCCGGTCACAGTCACAAAATGGTAGAAACAAATAGCTGCAGATGATGATTACTTCTTCCGTGAGTGAGGAAAGGAATCAACATTAGGACTTGTTGAGACGTAGTAAGTGTTGTGGGCACAAAAAAACAGCGAGGACAACTCTTCTCTTCCTCGTCTAAATCTGGAACCACACAAATGCTCACAACTGACTCTGAAAGCTATTACATGCATCATAATATATATATGATGCATGTAATTGATTGACTGTCTTATATGGATTGCGACGAAAGGATGATGAAATGAAATGGCTGAAAGAAGACCAAACTTGATCGATCTGACATAGGAAGCTCAATCATTCACATCCACAAGTTCTACTTTTTGCAAGACGTTGACACATGAAATAGAGTTGCTATCATGCATGTTGAATTGTATTTGTACCCAGAAAAAGACGATGCAAATTAAATTCCAGAAAGGACAATTTTACTTGTCTCCATTTGTATTCCTGTTGTGCGATAGGGATCCTCGAATTACTATATTATTTTCCCCACTTTTTCTAATAATGTTTATATTGTCATGCTTGATTGGAGTTGTAGAATATGTCGATTTGAGATGCTTCACATTATCTTGGTTACAATATGATGTTGAAGACGCCCTGAGCTCGGGGAGTCGGCTCCGGCACCACGGGCATGGCGCATTCCACCACTATCATCTTCCCCTTCTCCGACACTGCATTCGTTAGTGTCAATCTCAGTTGGATTGCATTGAAGGAAACATACACTCTCTGACCTTCTTGAAGATTGCATCTCCGCTTGGGACGCTCGCGAACATGTCTCCGCCGACGTGTTATACCCCTGCAAGGCACCATGCCGAGAGAATGAGAGGTGAGACGTATCAGGTTGCGGCGGCGCAGAACAGAAGAGGCGTTGATGGGGGGACCTGGGAAGGGTGGCGCCTCGGAGATGACTTGAGGGAGGTCGAAGTTGATGCCCCTGTTGTGGGGGTGCTTGGCGGTGATCATGTAGAGGGTGGCGCCGATGCCTCCACCGACGTCGACGAGCACCTAGACGCCCTCGAAGCCGCGGTAGATGTCGAGCAGCTTCTTGGTGAGGATGGTGGAGTGGTTCCTTATTCTCTCGTTGAACACCTTGTTGAACCGGGCGTCCGTGCCGTGGTACTCGAACGCCGTCATCCCGTATGCCTTGTTGAAGGGGATGCCGCCGTTCAACACCGCATCCTTCAAGTAGTACCAGCTCTCCATGAGGATCTTGTCCTGGTTCATCAGGGACAGAGCAACCATGGACACCCCGTCCTCGTTCTTGGTCAGGTACTTGCACGTCGGCGTGGCACGGTACCGTACTTCGTCGATGGCCTCCCGTCGGCGTCGGTTCCGACGGTGCTCTGTTGCAACCATTGCTAACCATGACTACATGTTTCCACAATCTCTCTCTCTCTCTCTCTCTCGTCGTCTTTGTGTAGACAATTTTACCTTGATTTGTTAAAGGAAAACATAATCTTTCAACATGAGAGAAAAAATAGTCATTACACTGCTGACTTTATAATCGCATACTGTCATGAAACGATATGTACGGAAGAGTTGGTGCCCCCACCCCTATAGTTGCCGGTAGGTGCACGACCCTCTGGCCGTGTTCGCCTCAATCTTTGGGAAAGCTGCACGAGCCGATCACTAGCAACATTAATACACGACAATGAGGCTCATTGTCCCGATTTCTCCCTATGGGTCATGATCCGTCATTCTCATCGATCACGATTTTGAGAGGGTTTGTATGTCCGGACTCAGGAAGCATTAGTCCTAAGTGATATGATTCGGTTCTCCTTTTCGGACACCTAACACCGGGGACCATCTCAGCTTATCTTAGATAAACTATAGCCATGATAAATGATAAACGACACTCTCATAATCATTCTCCCCTGACTCAATCCTCGATGAGATATGCTCATTGGCCACCGAAATAAATGAGCCCCCGACGACATGACGAGCTCCAAGATGAGTGGTCGACCGTTCTCCATCAATTGCTCAAGTATAAAAGTTAGCCCTAAAGCCTAGAGAGGTAAATGCTTTACTGTTATCACCGCCTTACTAACTTTACCATAGGAGGGTTCGGGTTGAGAATATTATCCTGACGCTGACTGATTGTACAAAATCCTCGGCGAAGTTCAAGCGCACCTTGAGGTGATACCAAACTCGCTCATAGCAAGCAAGCAGCATCTCAGGATCATGCTAACTAGGTCTTCTTCCCACTCTTACTATCTCATGTGACCCCTTAGGGGCCCCTTGGGTGATCTTATGCCTTCGCGATTGAATCAAGTTATGACATGTTGGAAAATTTGGGGCAACATCATATGTGCAGTAGAAGAATAAAAAATAAAAATCCCAAATTTTCATATAAACTAGTTTCTTATCATCGTACGAAGATTGGTGCACAAAAACCTGCAGAACCAAAAAACCATACATGTTACCTAGAGAGATCATATATCCATAAAAACCTATAGCTCTGTAGTAGAAGATGAAGGAGATCACTTTCCTCCTCTCTAGTAGTGATCCACATGATATGGGCTATGAATACGCTCGTCGTCAAATCACTGCACAAACCTCCTCTTCACGTGCACCATAGGATCAAGAAGGGGCCGACTCTTCTTGTTATCCACACGCCCTAAACATAGGTTGTTGGCTAACGAGGAGAGAGAGAGAGAGAGAGAGAGAGAGAGAG